TTTGACTCTTCAAATTCTCTCAATGTGTAAGCTTAAATATAGTCATGTGTGATCTTGTTTGATTTGTCTTAACATATAGATTATTAATATATAATTTCTATAATTTTTTAATATACAAATTACAAGATAAAATAAATTAAAGAAGTATATTGGATGGTGTATAAAAATGAAAATGTACAAATACTCTGAGACGGAGGTAGTATATAGTTAAATTTCTCAAGAAAAAATTATAGGAATATAATAAGGCTCCGTACGGGTTCCGGTATCTTTCCTTGTTTAGTCCAAATGAATGACAGTGTCGGGAGTAGCCCGTTATTTTCTCAATCATTTGTACTTTGTTCAGTTTATTGGGTCTTAGAACATGAAAGTGGATCTTCGGATCTTGTCGCCAACCAAGGGAAGAAATAATCTCCACACCAATGTCACCCATTTCTCTAAAATTTGCTTTTTGATAAGGGCATTGGAAATACGTATGAAACTCCGGAGCTTCAAATCGGAGCTTCAAAAATTCTTTTCATGTCACGTCAATTTTAAATTATATTATAGATTCACTAGAAATTGGTATAAGCCCCCTGGCTTCAAATTGAGGCTTCAAAGTTCAAACCTTCATTTTCTTACATTTTAAAGAAACATTTTCTAAATCTAAATTAATAAAATTTAATTATCTTATTATTTAATTAAATTGAAGCGAGAATAATTCAAAAAAATTTACATTCACTAAATTAAAAATATTTAAAACAGCAATAATTAAAAGAATACATTAATAAAGAAATAAGGTAAATTATATTTAGCCTTGATCTCCTTTTGTCTTCTCTCGAAGATCATACGTTTGAAGCCCGATAACGTATCAAGGTCGGTTTCCATTATTTTGATTTCTTCCTTCTCTTGCTTTCTTCTCGCCCTCTAGAAGATTAGTTTTGTAGAAAAAAAATCGACGGGGGTGCTCTGTAGAAGATTAGTTTGATCGACGAAGAAGCTAAAGATTCACTGTTCGGTGATGGCGAGGCGCACTTACGACAAAGGGATAGGCGCCGTCAGATCAGACTGCCCGGCGAAGTTAAGTTTGATTGAGGAAGAAGAGCTCCTCTGGTGGTGGGTGGATGGAAAACCCTAGCTCGCTACGTTTTTTATAAATGAATAATATAATTGTATTGAACAAATGAGTAAAAATTAACACAACCTTATTTCATAGTGAGTACTATATATTTTAATTCAAAATGAGTATTATAATATTTCATAATTATTACTACCTCCGTCCCAGAGTATTTGTCCACTTTCATTTTTACACATCATCCAATACACTTCTTTAATCTATTTTATCTTGTAATTTGTATATTAAAAAATTATAGAAATTATATATTAATAATCTATATGTTAAGACAAATCAAACAAGATCACACATGACTATATTTACGCTTACACATTGAGAAAATTTGATGAGTCAAAGTGCTTAGATGAACAGTTCTAAAAGTCAAAACTGGACAAATACTCCGGGACGGAGGGAGTACTACGTTACTTCAAAATGAACACTTGCATCTTGCGCGAGAATGAGTATTACTTTACATCAAAATAAATTACTACCCGTACATTACTTCTGCTACAACCGACTGTACCATATACATACCCAATGATGGAGGATCTTCAGTTCACTAAGTAATCAATTACAAAAATCAAGCTCAATAACAGATTTAAAGACTCGACTAGAGAATATGAGTATATTTGGCTGGCAAACGAAAGTGAATTCTTCATAGAGAATACGGATTTTGAAGGGTGTTTTTCTAAAGATTGTAATTTACGGAGTACATTTTTTCTTTTAGATTTCAAAAAAAAAATACTCCATCCGTCTTGGAGTATTCATCCAATTTTGACTTTTGAAACTGTTCATCTAAGCACTTTGACTCATCAAATTCTCTCAATGTGTAAGCCTAAATATAGTCATGTGTGATCTTGTTTGATTTGTTTTAACATATAGATTATTAATATATAATTTCTATAGTTTTTTAATATACAAATTACAAGATGAAATGAATTAAAAAGTGTATTGGATAGGTGTAAAAATGAAAGTAGACAAATACTCTGAGACGGAGGTAGTAGTTAATAAAATTTCGTCTCATCAAGTTTTACACCATAAATGACATTATTGTACGGAGTATCTCAAAAACAATTGTATATACGGAGTAATACATATGTCTCATAATATTTGTCCAGTTTTGATTTTTTCGGTTTACCATTTTCAAGATTTGACTTATAATTAAATAAGATATATATTATATACTCCCTCCTTCTCAAAAAGATTTACACCTTTCAAAAAAATTGTGTCCCATAATCTCCTACTCATTTCTATTAAAAAACCACTTTTACCCCTTACTTTTTCAAACCATTTCTATCACATCATACCTTTTTCCTAATAATCTATACATCACATCAAGAGTATTTTTGGAAAGTCAATACAAAATTATCTCTCCCTTAATTTCAACTTTAGTCAAAATGTGTATATCTTTTTGGGACGGAGGTAGTATTAATTAGATAAAATAATATTTTGAAAATATTTTATATAATAAATCTAATAATAATAATAATTTTGCATCAATATCCAATATCATTTCCGTTTAATTTAGGATTTACTGATTTTGACAAAAAAAAGTCAAGAATATACAAATACTTCCAGACGGAAAATGTATACGGGTACACGTTCGTAGTAGTATCTGTGACATATAACAATTTCAATGATGTTAAACCTTGATTTTTATTTTTTAAATGTTTCAAACATTCAAAAATTATTCGTCTTAATTTTTTACTTTGTTCTAAAAAAAATTATCATGCTTGTTTATTTTCTACTAAAGTAAAGAACATAGTATTTATTTATTTCTGTTTCTTCTAAAGAAATCTCAATCACTATTTTTTTACTCAGCATACGCCCTTTATCCCTTGGAATCTTCTTAATTTGACTTTCAAAGTTAGCTTTTTCAAAATTTAATTATAGATTATGAAAAGAACTGAATTGTAATATAAATTAAATATCAATAAGTTTATTAGATATATAATTTTAAAATGTTACACTTTTATAAATAAAATATAGGCGCTCCATCTCAAATTGAAAATTTTCATTTATTTACTTTTCAAACCACAAGTTTTTTTGAGAATGATACAAAAGAAAATGAAAAATGAAAAAATGAAATGGATTTTTATTTTAAGTACAAGTAGAAAAAAAAATAAAAAATAGGTAACATGTACACACTCCATCTCGAATGAAATATTTTAATTATTTATTTTTCAAAATTAAAATAATTTTTTGGGACCTTAAAAAATGAAGAGCAAAAAGATGAAATAAAATACGGAGTAAAAGAAAAAATATGATTTTTTATCTTTTTCATTACCTTTTTCAATTATTTTTTTCTTTTAATTCATGTAAGAAATCTTATTTTATTTTTCTATTTTCTTTTGTGGTGTTCTCTAAAAAAATTATTTTGTTTTGGAAAATATATAGATAGAAATTCTTAATTTGAGATGGAAAGCGCATATGTTATTTTATTTATTTATAAACAAGGAAAAAGAAAAATGAAAGATTGAACTTCATGATAGAACAAAAGAAGGGTATAAATGTTGATTTAACTCTGAAAATAAGTTAGGATGACGTGTTGCAGTATTTAAAAACCATGCAATTTTACAAATAACTTTTAGTTTAAAATAAATGAGATTTTGGTGCCCTTTTGTTAATCATAAATTCACGGAGAAAGGAACACACATGCTATTAGCTCATCTATATAAATAAAGTTATTGATAGTCAAAATTTTGTATTGAAGAACTTGAAAAGTCGAATATGAAGATTCAAAAAGGACATAGGGAGTATTTCTTGAATTTCATAAAATCAAATTATTCAAATTAAATCATGATGAAGGAAGTACTTTTCAAAAGGATGGGCCTTATCCCCGAGGACTCCTCGAAATCAAACCGAAAGTCATCTGAGAGAAATAAGTGAACTACAATTAAAAACTTATAAGCAAATAGTGGGAGCCTGCACATGATAGCATAATTGCATCTCAACTCAATTAACAAGAAAAAACTTGAATTCATCCAAGTTACACTGACCATGGTGTAAAAAAGTTATTTGTAAAGTTAAATAGAAGTGGCCTAAAGGTTCATTTGGAAAAGGGGAAAATGAGTAAACAAAATGAGGTATTTTGCAAATGTCATTTTCCTTTTTGTTGTTGATTGGCTACCATGAATGGAAAATAAAATTAACTCAGACTTTGAGATGTGGATAACTATTTGCGCTTCAAGATCCAAAACTCACCCTTCCATTTCTGTTCATCTGCTCCATGGGAAAAAGGCAATTTACATTTGAGAAGCAACTACTTCGATCTAAATTTGTGAGGAGCACTCACAATTTCATAGACGGCAGTAATTTGGGATAAATTTCAGTAATAGTACCTAAACATTCACTGGAATTTTGAAGTGGTACTTAAACTTCAAATCCTTTCATAAAAATCCCTAAACTTACATAATGTTTTCATTAAAAGTCCATTTACCTGTTTCCAGATTAACTAACAGTCATTTAGGGTTAAATTAGAATTTTTTATATTTTAAAATTTTTAATTTTACTCATTTCTTTTTTTTTTTTCTTCTTCCCCCTCCCACTCTCTTCTTTTTCTTCTTCTCCTTCCCACTCTCTTCTTTTTCCGGTAGACCCCATCACATTTTCACTTGACTCTATTTCCAAACACGGAAAAATGAGGAAAATGACTTGGAAAATGCTAGGGGTACACCAAAAGTGTACCCTGGTGTACCCCAAACATCCCCCACCCCTCCATAGCCACAAAAAGGCAAGTGAAATTCAAAAAAAAAATTAAAAATAAAATAAAATAAAATGAGTGATAAAGAGTGGAGTAGTGTACATTTGGGGCATCTCCCAAATCACTTTCCAAACAAACCCTAAATGGAGTTAAAAGATGGAATGAAGGTGCCCTAAATGAGACAAAGGATTAGGTGATTGAGATGGTGCATGACTCTTGGGGTGGTGCATCTTGATATCATCCACTTCCCTTTCTCCCCCATTCAATTCTCCTTATTAAGCCTCTCTTCAATTCCTTCTTCCTCTTTCACTTCATCACATTCTCCAACCCCTATCCCTCTCTCTAGGGTTTCTGTTCATCGATTCTTGGGAGGAATTGAATCACGGCCTTTCCATTTCGCATTCATCAACAGATGCATATGGTTGCGATCGGGTTTTATTTTTTCTGTGATGATGATTCGTTTGAATCTCTGTGATTGATTTATGGTAAAGAATCCATCTTTTTTTCTGTTTTTTTTGGTTTGATTTGAGTAGTGGACGGTGAAGCTGAGTGTTTCCGGCGAGAAATCATGACGTCTACTGTTCCGGCCAAGTCTCAGCCGCTTCACAACTTCGCCTTGCCGCACTTGAAGTGGAAGAAGAACCACCATTCCAATAATCACCACCGCGGCCGCTCCGCCAAGCACTTGGAATCGGCGGCTTCTCCGTCCCGGGTCGCTTCCCCTCTGCGGCAGTCTCAGTCGCCACTCATACACCGAGTCCGGTCTCCGGATTTTGAATCCGTGACGCCGATGCTGGTCCGCCGCCAGTCTCCGATGCGGGAGCGAGATCGCCAGTCACAGATGCGCGATTCTGCTAGTGAATCGAGTAAGAGGAGTTTCGCTGCGGAGATGGATGGGACTGGCCAGAAAGATGGCAGATCGAAATTAGTTCTGAAGCTCCCTCTGAAAAACAGGGGCGATGAGACTCAGGAGGAGCCAAAGAGCGAAGAGGTTCCAGAAGAGGGGAAATCCGGCGCAGATGCAGATCAGGAAGCATCCGAAGAGCCAGTCCAAAAGATTTGGAACCTGAGGCCGAGGAAGCCGATACACAAGTCACTGAATTTGAACGGCGTCCAGTTCAAAGCAGGGGGGCCGTCGGCCACCATAGAGGACACGACTCAGTCGCCTCACCGGACTCCAATCAGACCGGATGCCGATGTTCACTGCGCAGAGAAGAAGGAGAAGAGGCGGAGGTTTTCCATTGCACTCACAAAGGAAGAGATTGCAGAAGATATTTTTTCCCTGACTGGATTAAAGCCCGCAAGGAGGCCGAAGAAGAGAGCCAAATGTGTTCAGAAACAACTTGATGTATGAATATGTTCTTCTTCTTCTTCTTTTCCATATTTCATTTTTTCTCTTACTGAGTGTTATCATTTTCTTCATGATATGATTTGTATTTACTATTTCTGTTACTGCAGACTCTTTTTCCTGGTTTATGGTTGGCTTCAATCACTCCTGATTCATATAAAGTCTCTGAAAACAATCCAAAGGTATATAATGTTTCCTGGGTGTGTTTGTTTTTTGGTCTATCTCTGTTTGTTCAATGTGTTGTGCCCGGCTCTAACTCTTGAAAAACCACTTTATTCTTGCAGGGTTAGTAGAGGGCATTGTTCAGCAGAGGTATTGTTCAAAGGGTCTTTGGGATTTAGAAGACCTGACAAATTTTGGGGATCTCATATGCTGGTTTAATCAACTGTTACATGTAAAGAAAAAGAAGAGAGAAACTTTTCTTCTTTCATTCATAGCTTCTTCTTTTTCTTTTTCTTCTTTTTTAAAAAATTATCTCAGGTAAAAGGAAAATAATTTTGCTTCTTTTATACTTTACTGATAGCTGCACAGCCTGCAGATGTACATAAGGATATTGAATATATTTAATGAAGGTCATCTTTCAAATGTTTATACCCTCTTGAAAAAAATAACATTCTTTCTCTAACTTCCTCATTTGTCTGATATTTCTTTCATTTAAATTAGTTCTGCTTGAGGTTGAGGGTGATCACCCCACCCCACCTTCTACTTTTGCTTGCTGATATTTGTTGCTTCTTGCTACAACCTGATTGTTCTCTAGTAAGATTGTTGGGGGTGTTGTTGCAAATCTCTTTAGACAGATGGTACCAGTTTTGCAACTATGGGAATCTTGAATCACTGCTTGTTTGATGACCACATTGTGGGATATGAGGACACTTGCTTGGATTTGATGTCTATGGAGGGGTTATGTTATGCTAGGCTTTGATCATGGGTAAGGGCTTGTTCTCTTCACCATATTTGATTGGAATAAGTTCTGATTTAGTCCGATCTGATCTATGCTGGGTTTGGATATTTCTTATAGGAGTGATGTTAGAAAAATGGATGGAGGAAGAAGCAAGACTTGGGAGTTGAGACCAAACGTCTTTAATGCCACCTTATTTGAATTGTTGTTTGTCCTAAATGTGCATTGTGACTGGACTGGATCAATTCAGTGTCTACCTGAACACAAATGGAAGAAGCATGGCACTGCTTATATAGAGACCGGTGCTTCCTCTACTGGGTGCTCCTCGGGTGTCGGTCGAGGCATAGAGGTCGGGTGGGGTTCGGTGCCCTAGTAGAGGGTTAGGTGGTGTAGATTTTGACAAGTTGGAGTGGAGGGTTTTCTCCCCTTGTAAGAGTCTTGAATTCGAGTCACCATAGATGCCAAATGAAAGATTTTCAGTCAATAAGTCTTCTAGAATTCTCGAGATTGAATCTTTGAGGTTTAAAATGTTAAAAATTTATCAATTTTAAGACTAATGTTGATGCCATCAAATTATTTTCGTACAGACAACAATTTTCGGCGTGAAATTATTGTCTATAAATACTAGGTAACTCTTAAAATTAGTTTAAATGCTCGCATTGGTAGTTCAACTGGTCTAAGAAGAGGACATCAAACTCGTTGATCCTAGGCTCGAATCTTGTTAGTGTAATAGCTCCTTGTGTGCATTAGGGGTGTGCAAAAAAATTGAATTAGCATGATACCATATCGGGCCGTAATGGTATCGAACCGTTTATAATGTTTTTTAAAAGGGATTGCTTTTTTTCATCACAAACCGAAACTGAACCGATATCAAACGGGTCGGGATCGTGATAAAAATTTTTAAAACGATAATCACGGATCAAACCGTTCAAATCTACATAAGGAATATTTCAAATAATTACGAAGTATTGATCTACTTCATCTTACCGTACGTAAAGTACTTCATATTTTAGTATTCATTTTTTAAATTCTTTCATTATTATCATTGTTTTCAAATTCATTAGTACTATTAGTATTATTTTTTTAGAGTTACTAATAGTTTGATATTATATGAATTGAAAAAAATCTATTTTTTAATTTAGACTCAATATCTTTTATTTTTTATGTTTATGATCCTTTTAAATTCGAAATCAATACTTCTATTTAACAAACTGGCGGTTTTTTTATACAAAATTATACTTTTATTTCAATATTCTTTGAGTAATGCATGTTCAAATTTTTTTGCACGGTTTGATCATGGGTATGGTATTGTACCGTTCCGTTTCAAAATGGAAAGGTAACGAATGGTTTTGGATTTCATCCTGTACCGATACCGAACCGTTTAAATAAGAGTGCTCTGTGACAAGTTCCGGTAGTATCACGGACCATCACGGACCGCGCTCACCCCTAGTGCGCACCGGGCATGGGTTGACCTCTCTAAAGACTATATTGAAATTATACCATGATTTACCTATTCAGATTTCTGTTGAATCGGGGTATGAGGCACCCGGGGTGGGCTTTCCACCTTAAAATTAGTTTGAAGGAAGTTAACATGTCACCAACGCTCACGTTGTTTGTTACAACAACAACAACAACAACCCAGTTAAATCCCACAAGAGTAGGGTCTGGGGAGGGTGTGTGTACGCAGACCTTGCCCCTACTCGAAAGTAGAGAGGCTGTTTCCAAAGAGACCCCCGGCTCAACATCAAAAGTTGCAGTGTTTGACTAACTGCTACTTCATTAATTAAAGAAGCGCTGATAGTTTAGAGATCCATTTTGATTTATTCCATCACACCCCAAAGCCAAAAATAGTGAAATTTTGACTCCATCGGAGATGATGGAAAAAACGTTGTTTGTTTTGTGAGTAAAAGAATATTGTTGCCTTGTCGCTAAGAACTTCTACCTAACATTTACTTACTCCGTATTTTTATGTGCTCTTTAAATTTGTCTTTTACTCCCTAGTCCCTCCCTCTCAAATTTGTTATGTTGTTTGGAACAATGTATAAAATATTATTTTTTAAAAAATTATTTTTTTATAAATTGGTATAAAAATAAAAGTTAATTTATTTTTAAAAATTATATCAAAAGTTATTGATACACCTATTTTAATTTATCAAATGATCAATGGAAACACGTATGCAAACAATAGTTATGGAATGTCTCAAAGAATAAGGAAAGGAATATATACTCTCTGGCCTCTGCTTCAAAATTTATCGTCTTAGTTTGATCCGTGATTCGTATGCAAAATAAATGATTCGTATATGAATAAAAATATAAAAGTTTATTAGACTTCAAAAGAAAAGAATACAAATACGAATGTATATGCATTTGATTCGATATGTTAACGAATATATTCGAATATAAATATATAAACTTATACCCAATATAGTACTTCATAATAAATACAAAGCATAATATATAAAGTACTTCGTAGTTTGTTTTTGTATTGCAGTACTTTGTACTTGATACTTGATTATACACATTTAGTTTTTGAGCGTCATGTGGAAAAAGAAGTAATTATACACTCCCTCCGTCCGGGAATGATGTTTCCGTTCTACTCTTTTTTTGTCCAGAAATGATGTACCCATTCTACCTTTTTATTACAGTTCTTCCAAAAATACCCCTCATTAAATTTCTTTTCTTTTGCTTTTTTCCAGCTTCATGACCTTCATCTGATCTCTCTCTCACACCTTGGCGGTCGTGAGAATTGGGATGGTGGTGGATCTCCGCTTCTGCGGAGATCTATGCTTAATCTTCTTCTTCTCATCTTCCCCCTTCTTTTTTCACTTTCTCCCAACAATTGCGATGGTGGTAGGTGGGGATGATGGTGTAATTGGTGGTGGGGGTGGTGCAATGGTGGTTGGGTCTGGAAAAGATGTTGGGGCGGCGACGATTGTTGTTAGGGTTGACGGTGATGGTGTAAGGGCAGAGGTGGCGGTCAGGAGTGAGGGCTGGGGCAGCAAGGGGTGGCGGCGGCGGCCAACAATGGTGGCTGGGTGGTAGTTCAGGAAGCTAGGGTTGGGGTAGTGGTTCAAGTGGCAAATCAAAGAAAATAAGAAGAGTATTTTAGACATTTTCATCCTAAAGTCAACACTCCTTAAAAATGAAGAAAAGTCAAACCGGAAACATCATTCTCGAACGAAGGGAGTAATTTTTAACGAATGTGAAATATGAATTGAAATATGAAGTAATTAATAAGAAGCCCAGTACCATAAGTATACACTCCATAAAGTTTAATCACTAATACACTACTAGAGCAGTACACTTTGACATTTCCTTTTGTTTTTCATCAAAAGGACTTCCATCAGCAGTTGTGCAGCTTAGCAGCCTTCTCGTACTCTCAGACACTAATTGTAATAATTATTCGAATAAAAGCAAATATGAATAATGATATTATTTTTCAAATACGAATAAACTTCATAATATTAGATTCAATTCGTTTGTTTACAACACTAGCCACAACCACAGGAAAGGTTTTTATATTCTACCACTAAGAATCAAGATCTTGATCTACCTCTTGATGCCCCTCGCCGCAAAAATCGCACAAATCATCAGGAAGTCTCCAGCGCAAGCAAAAATCGATTCGGTTCTCTATCTGTTCCAACCTCTTTTGGAAGTTCAATACTCCCATATGCAAAGTCCTAACATCCACACGGGCGATCCGTGCACACAAGCGAAGTATGATATAGTAATCCGCATGGACCGCGTACACGTAGGCCCCATCTTTCTTTCGAGCATATCGGATGTAGCCATGGTTCTTCTTCATGGTTTCTTTACTAGGTGGAACATAGCAAAACCGGTTTTCTTCCATGTTTGATTTCAATTGTCGTATCGCCTTGTCCTTGTACGACTCTTCAGAATGTTGGCCTTCATCCGCTGGACAGTTCGCCCGGTTGTCTGTTGTGCTGGAATCGCGTCCGCCCACTTGAGATTCCTCACTCTTTCTAAGCCCGTCTAATGGCTCAGCTTCCTAATGTAAACTAAAAAAAAAAATGAGCAAGTAGAAATCATAAAAGGAGAGTTTAAAGTGAAGGAATATAAAAGTTTGAACCTGGATAGAAGAAATCAATGTTGCTTATATATAACAACAACAAACAAACAAAATTTCCAAGAGAGCCCTAGCTCAAAAATCATAGATAGAGTAAAGTAAACATAAAATGGTTCTTTTTTTAGAGGGAATGGTTCTTTTCACAAAATAGCAGACACATTGTTAGGATTTAAATGGTATCAACAAACAGTGGCAATTGTGACGTTAATTTCGGAACAGAGGCAATACTATGTTTGCTTGCTCATATCCTATCTAGACTACGGCAGAGCATGGGTTTGGTTTTCCCAACATGTACCAAAATCCGTTCAGATCCGCTCCAGAATCGCAAGCTCCAAAATGTTTTAGTACATTTTCGAAAGTGCAGAAGTTTTTTCAAATTATTGCACAGTATTAGTTCTTTGGTGATAACCATGCCCAAACCATTCCATTCTGCACCATCCCGAACCATCTTGAAGAAGTGTAAAAATCTCATAAACTATAAACTAAAATTTAATTTGTAATCTTTCGTTCCAGAAAGATAGACTCATATTCATATTTTGGTCTTTCAAACTTGGTCCTATTTTATTTTTCTTTTCTAGAACTCCAAGATATAACAATTGTCCTTAAATAATTTCAAAAAAAGAAAAGTGAAAAATGAAAATGACCCAAGGACTGGTGAACCGGGAACCATTCTAGTATCAGTCCCGGCCAAGTTTAAAATTTTAGAGGACCACGTTCTGGGTCTGTGGGTGATATTTTTTTTAGTCTCTTAGGGATCGAGGTGGTCCCAAGAACAGGAATCAAGACCTTAGTATGAAAAGTATTTTTAAAAAATGAACACTTCTCTAAATTGTGGAGTGGAATCAGCTCAGTCGACATCGAGCCATACTACTCCCTACCATTAAACATTCCTGATTTCAAGAAATCCTATGCTTGGAGGACCCTGTTTAAGGCTCAATGAATAATTGAGGGTGCAGGTTTCCAAAAAAAGAATAATTTAAACATTCACATCATGCAAAATATATTAGAGAGAAATATTTGAGTTCAAAACAAACAAATCAAATAAACTTTGAACTTTGAAGAAGAGAAGTGAAACATGTTCTCATCAATGGACATGTTAGTAAAGGACAACTCACATCACATAAAAATCTTAAACAAACAAAATTTTAAACCACTATTTAGTACAGATTTCAAAGAGAAAGAGAGACAAGCAAGGAGATACCTTATTTGTTTGATAAAGGTCCCACAGCTCCTCTATCAGATTTTCTTCTTCGCGGTCCTCAAATGATGAATTTAATCCGGCAAAAACCACATCTTTACAGTATTGAAGATAAGATGGCAAATCTTGTGCAAAATCTGTAAAAGGACGCTCGGTCAATACCCTTCATATTAGAAGAAATTTTATAATTGTACCATTGTTACATATACATCCTTATATTTGAGGTACCGGGTATATCCTTATGCTCTGAATATTTTTCTTCAAGAATTTGAAGCAACTTGAACCCATCAAAATTGTCTTCCTCATCACCTACACCATTCTTTTTATCCATAGATTGATCATTGGGTGACAACATGGTTTCCCATTTCCCACCATTTATGTCATACATGATCCTTATTGTTACAATCACTATGGACATAACAGAAACACGAGATGGAAGACTGAGTTCATTATCTGACAAGTAAAGCTCTGGAGGCATAGACCAACCATGTACACGGCAGGCCTGACGAAGAATTTTTTCGACGGGAAGAGACATCTCTTTAAGATAACGGAAAGCTATGGCATAGAAATTCACTGGTGGCAGTTTCAAACCTATTCTTCGGGCAATTGAAGCAGCAAATGACTCTAACTTTTGTGTCAAGACAGCTTGAGTAGGTCGGAACATCTGACTGGCACTAATAGGACACGCCCTTGAAGAAGGTCCAAGTTGCTTTTCAATTTCCATAAAAGCAGCAAAATATGGAAGTTTTCCTTCAAGCGCCCACTTCACGATATCTGTTGGCAGGATTGCTTCTCTGGCCACATGACAAACAAGAAATGATATGGCAAGAGAACAAGATAGCGGGATCTTATTTCTCAAAGATTTATACCATATTGGTATCAACCGTTTACCAAGAAGGTTGTGGGGTTCGCCTTTACTCCTAGCGCGAATCTTAAATTGGCCAATTTCCTCTGCAAAACAACACAACAAAAAACCATAGTATAACAAATCTCTCCATTAATAATAAAAATAATAATAATAATAATAATAATAATAATGTCAATAATAAGACAACATAGTGATAACACCGGAAGGAGCGTTTTCATAGAGCCTTAGAGGAGAGAGATGTGGCAGGGGTGTTTTCAATATAGAGCCTTCTCTGTTTTTAAGCCCTATGGTGCCCCGGGGGCAAGGTGAGGGCATTATTGAAGTGCCACCTCGGCCCCTTGAACGCCCACTACATGTAGCCTAATAATAATCCTCGGCATAATAATAAATTATCTCTTGTAAGAATAAGATACGCAAAGTGTTTCTACATACAATATCTCAATAACCGTAGTATGAAAAAACAAAGTTATGAAAAGCTCCACAACTGCTTTATACATAAAGCACATCAATATCTCAATCCCTAAGCAGGAAAAACATCTAACAATGAAGCCTTATACCGTTATGCATATTTAAGGCACAACAGATAGCCAACAACCAGACTCTATGCACAATTCCAAGGTTGTCAAATGAAAATATACCAGCTTGGGATTCTGATTCATTAATTACCATGTCGGCCCAGTCATCAGCCATTACCCCTTCGCGAGCAACGTATCTCAACCAAATAGGTCCAATGAGCCCAATAACTAAAGGGCTGACGTTAAATCTCTCGACCAACGCCTTACACTGTAACTGGATCATGATCTGAACTCCCATAATATACTTTTTTCTGATTGCTGAATAATAGTAATCGGGAGAAGTGAAATCATCATGCAATGAAGCAATGTCCATTGGCTCAGTTGTCCCAAAGCCATTGTCCATATTACCATCAATATCACAGCCATCAATGGTTTTCAAGCTTTCTAGATATTGGGACTGCGAATCTTTGCATTGAGACATTGGTTCGCCTAAAATGTCCTGTCTAGGACGAGCACGGGATTGAGTGACAGAATAGATCCCACCATCAGCTGGGTTCATTAAGTCGGCCTCATCAACCCCAGTATCCATCATATCATCTGCTTGAGAGTTACAGCTGGTGCAATAAAAGTATCCATCACCGCCATCATCGAACCCAGTATTGCCACAAATGCCACACAGCTTTGCCAATCTTTCTGTCATTCTTTTCTATTGTATGTATCTTCAAGTACTACCAAATAATCTGCACACTGGTAAGTTAACAAATTAGCCTAGAATCAGCACGATGCCTGGATGCGAGGGGCTATATAGAAACAAAATCTTAAAGCTACTTTTTTTATACAAGATTTGCATGGGAAAAAATTTAATTACATGTTCCACTTCAATAATAAATACCAAAAAGTCCATAGAAAGAAATTAATACTCCCTCCATCCTAAAATCTTCTTTGCACTTTGACTTGGCATGCTTATTAGGAAAATAAATTGTGTGGTTATGGTCTAATTAGAGAAGAAAGAAACATAATTTAGGACAATCTAAAGTCTAAACACTCTCAAGTCTCAACTTTGTGGGTTTACCCAAAAATAAGGAAAAAGAAAATTGTTGCCATAAGAATTAATTTCTCTTTTGGAGTCTCCAGCGGATGGCACAACTTAGAAATCCACATCTACACTTTTTACTTAAATCAGGGAGGGAAAATCATCTAAGAAATCAAATTATAAAGTTGATGCTGCAAAGGCGGATCCAAGAACACTGAGGTTATGTGGTTCCTATCCGGAGAGACCGCCCTGCCGCCATCAGACCCAGATCCATAGGCCCAGCCAGAACACCAGAGACAAATCAAGAACTATATTTGGGGTCCTTTCATTAGAATCATTACAGTTCCCGAGTTTCAAGTTTATTTAGATAAAAAAGCTGTCTTTTAATTGGAATGTCAAGGCCATCGACTGTCTTTTCTATTCTAATCCTTCTTTTTGAATGGACAAGGGACTATGGAAGAAATTTCAGATAGCAAATAACCCGGGTCATGTCTGTGGCTCGTAGGTTATCTTCGGTGTTGAAGAGGGTGTGCCATCTCTTGCCTCAGCTCCATGGGTTGGAGGGGCAGAGAGGGAATCATTGTCGTTGTCTTCCAGAAGAGACAGCGCCAAATTTAGATGGGATTGTTTTGAGATCTAAAGAGTAGATGGGATTAACGGTAATTAGATCTAATACTACAACAACAGCCTCGTTGGATCCCACGATAGTAGGGTGTGGGTGGGAGGCTCTTTCCAAGAGACTCCGGGCTCAAAAGGCATAGATAAAATAAGATCACATAGGACATATATAGTAGAGATAGCAAAAAGCACACAGAGGCCAAGAACAAAATTAAACAAACCAAAACATGGCAAGCAAAGACTCCAAAGAGCATCAGGCATACAAAGCAAACAAAGCACATAACAATTGGAGAAACTACCACTAAGCTCGGATCACCTACCCGACTACCCTAATCCTAGCTCTCCACATGCTCTTATCTAAGGTCATATCCTCATTAACGGCAATAAGTCTTAGATCCCTCCTTCTAATTCTTCCTAGGTCTACCCCTTCCCCTACTCCCCCCACCCACCAACATAAGTCTCTCGCATCACAGGAGCACTCCTCCGCCTCACTAGTCCAAACCCCCTCAGCCTAGCTTTTTGTAGCTTATCCTCCATAGAAGCCACGCCTCCCCATCCTCGGATAACATCATTATGAATCCTATCCATACTCATCTTCCCACTCATCCAACGTTGCATCCGCATCTCTGCCACATGCCATTGACGAACGTGGGTTTTCTTTGAAAAATGGATAACAACAAAAATTCCACTAAAAATAGGGTCTGGAAAGGGTGTGTGTATGCAAACCATACCCTACTCGAAAGTTGTGAAGCTATTTCCAAGACACCCTTAGGCCTTAGCCTTAGCTCAAGCACAGTCAATCTAAACCAACAAAGAAGGCGAGGCACACAACACATACAAAGTTGTAGCAAAAAACAAAGAGTAAACTAAGAGCAAACTAAGATCAAAGAAAAGCGTACAGAGACATGAAGCACACAAACTTAAACTAGCAATTAGACCTCATGGTTCAAGTACAAAAAGCACACAATGTCAAAAGCAGAAATCACCCGCACAAGAATACCACCACGACTACTCTAGTCTTAGATCTCTAGATGTTCCTAAGGTCATATCCTCGATAAGGTCCACAAAACATAAGTCATGTTTAATCCCCTCCTTCCAAGCTCCATCTCTTTCTAGGTATACCCCTTACCCCACCCCCACGGAGCTCTCTTTAGTCTTTTCTATATATACTTTCTACATATACATAGGGTTGTTCCAAATCTCAATCATCAAATGGCTCCGACGAATCTGATTTCTAAGCCCATCACATCTCTGCACTGGGGCCTCTACACTTATCCGCTCCACGTGCCCAAACCACCTCAATCAAACTTCTCTCAACTTATCCTCCGCATCGGCCACTCCCAGGTCCCACCCTAGGGTTTTGAAAAGGTGAAAACTTACCTCGAGGAAGTGGAGCAAATGCCTTGAGGCCTAAACCTCGAGGCGGAACGAGGCATAAGCAAAAGTTCAATTAGAATAAATCATACTAAAATAAGTAGTTTGAGGTAACACAAAACGCATAATCTATAATCATGTCCTATGTAGCACTGAAACAGAGACGGGCCCGGAGACTAAAAGAAACGGACACGCCGAAACAGCTATTTTTAAAAAAATGAAGAGACGAAACGCTGGGGAAACGCCAAATTTTTATACAGACACACACACACACACATGTATGTATGTATGTATGATAATCATTACAAAACATATTAAAGCATATTAAGTTCAAAAGACATAGCATAAAATTTGCTGTTTTAGCATATAAGGACCATAAAAACTTGACATTTTAAACTGTTTTTTTTAAATTGAACAAACATAATGATTTTCAACAGCTAAAATTGGAAGAAAAAGTATATGAAATTCACCAAAAAAACTGTTCTTCATAGTCCATAAAATCCCAGAATCATACCTTTGAGATTTTCCAGTTGAGATGTCACTTGACCTACAGGTTGATTATTTGGAGAGAAGTCTTCTCCCTTTGTCGGCCATTACTTGGCGATTCTTCTTCGAACCAGCGGCTCAGCTTCTTCTCTCGCTCTTTGTTATTGTCGATGGGTGAATAGGAGAGCAGCTGACTTTGCGTAAGTTTCCAGGGTAGTGTAGAGTGATTGGGAGAGAGATTTGGGGCCATATATTAGTCCCTATAATTTGATTATAAGTTCCTAAACATATAAAAATTATAAAAATCCATCACAATCCATTTTTATAACAATCCTTAAAAATTCATCAATTTTTCAATATCATTAAATTTAGAAAAGACTCTTTAAAATCTCAATGCAATACCTCTAAATTTTAAATGACTTTTTAAAATCCTAATTAAATACTCACTTACTTTTAAAATCAAAATTATCTTACATAATCTGAATTGAATACACCCTCTTAGTTAAATCCAATCCTCTTATACTCTGTATTAAATAGTTGTGTCAAATCCTTCAAAAAAATAGTTGCGTGAAGTATTTTTATTTTAAAAGTAGTCTAAATAGGTTTCCTCCCTAAGCACAAAACAAAAAAGGATGAACCTCATCTTTGAGTCCCCTAAAGTTCAATTTAGATAGTTACATGAAAGAAAGTAAAAATAAAAATAAAATTTTAAGTGACAAATAAGTTATGTCTTAGTTCCAACAAGAACCTCTTACAAAGTATAAAACATTTCATCTTTCATTCACCCAAAATCGAATCTGGTCACAATACTCTTTTACACCCTATTAACTACTTAAGATTCCCTCGAAAACAAATTAAAACAAATTTATTCTGTTGAAGATCATGCACCAAAGGCTCCAAACATAAATGGGTTACCATGTCCAAAACTATTGAATGCATCAAAAACGTGAAGTATAGTTGTCTTCTTTAACACTTGTAGTAAAAGAGACTTTTCTTTAAAGATGTATGTATTTAACACTCGTAGTAAACAAAATTTTTCTTCGGAGATGTTTGTGATTCTATTTTTGTAATGAGATTTTTGTTTCAAGTATATATTTGGAGTGTTAATCCTTGTACGAATATACTTTTTCTCCTTAAGGAGTCTAATTAATGAGTAAATTTCCACTTTCATCTCAAATTATGATCAACAATGTAAACATTTAATACTTCTATACATATACATATGTATAAATATTATATATGTGTGTGAATTTATATTCATATTTTGAAATCATAAATTTTTATACATATTTTAAATGTCTAGTTATCTATAGACCATGAATGAAGTCGTAAATTCTTATTTATATTTTTTAAATCATTGATTCTTTGTAAATGACTTTTGTTTATTTATAAAAACAAATGAATTTGAATACTCCATATATCATCCCACATCAATAATGACAATATGCTTTGCTAGCAAAACAATAATGCGAAAAATATTTTCTTCCGTCATTGACATTTCATTAAACCATTGTCTATAAAATTTACAAAACTCAATCATCATTCATTAGCCATTTTTATTTAGGTCTACATTTCGGTTTACCTCTTTCTCTACCCACAATGTCACATAAATATTCACCATTTGATCGACCCTGACCTCTAGAGCATCTTGTGAGAAAGATTGTCAAATGTTGAATAAGCATGTTGCTAGAGGAAGAAGTAGACCTAAGAGGACTTAGCAAGATCAAAGGAGACTTTAGCGTAAATGATCTAAAGCAAGATATGATACATGATAGAGCACAATGGCATCATTTAATCAAAAAGATAGGGGCCACAAAACGGCGGTGGGGGAAATTCAAATCCACAGCTCCAAAAAAAATGCTTTTTTTATTTGGCAAAACAATTTCTCACAGCCATTTTACTCACTATCTGTCAAACTAGAAAGAATTTGTGCAGAGTTGTGGAATCAGACCGATATGCCACGGTTGTTTATCTTTGTAACCTCCTTGGTAAGGAACTTCCGTTCTTTCGCCGCCTCTGAAGCAAGATCAGAAACCTGAAAGTTAAAAAAATAACAATAGTGATGCTGAAGCAAACATGGTAGAGTTCAGAAGGGACCATAGGATGGGGGAAATGACTTCGAGGAGTCATTTTCCCATTTTCGGTGATTTTGGGCGGAGGAATCTGGGCAGGGAGGCTGGCTGAGTCAAGGAGGGGGGAGGGGTATTTTGGGCAAGTCAAACAATAATGATGCTGCAGCAAACATGGTAGAGTTAATAAGGGACCATATTTGGTTGTGACTTTAGGGTCGGTCTGGGATGGGGGGGAAATGACTTCCAAAACTCATTTTCTCATTTTCCGGTGTTTGCTTGTTCTTGAAAATAGAAGTCAACGAAAAACGAGCAATATTTGGGGGAAAATGATTTTTGGTTTTTTCGGCAGAAGACATTTTCCACCCTTCTCCAACTCCTTAGATCGAAAGTCTAAACTCGGCATTTTGTATTACTCAATCCGGAAATGAACTTTCTATGCACTATTCACACACTCAAACTTTAATCACTATGATTGCTTATTTTCACTACTCATTTCATAATATATAGTTATTTCCCCTCTTGTTTTGTAGAACCTTTTATGTAGTTTTTAAATATTTAAATTTTATTTTTCAAATTTTACGCTTATAATCAAATAAATTGGTATAGCCAAATAAATTATGGAGTATAACAAAAACTGGTTTAAATTATAGTCAAATAAATATTTAAATTTTATTTTTCAAATTTTACTCTAGTCAAAGCTCTCAAACCAAAACGAGAAATTCATTTCCAGATGGAGGGAGTATATTATAGAGTATAACAAAAACTGGTTTTTTTCATTTTCCATACATTCAACCAAACACCAAAAAATGAATTTATTTTCCGGAAAGTCGGTTTTCAGAAATCATTCTGTGTTTCCAAATGGGTACTTAATGAAAAAAGGGGAAATCATAGTTATGTGTTCGCGCTTCACGTTTGAAAATACTAGAGAACAAAATGAAACTAAAGGGAAAAAGTGAAACCAAAATAAGTGAAAAAAACAATATAGAAAAGGGATGCCTATATGGACAACTGGGCAAGCAAGCCAATAACATACCCGGGATCTAAATGCAGAAGCATCTCTACGTGGACGCTCTTTCAGAACATCTTTCAGACCTGGGAAAAATGGAGTTTCATAAGAGAAACTGGCGGCATACTGAATAATCCACTATGTTTAAGAAACTTTAATTACCAGCAGCTTGTTGTTCAATCAAAAAAGCAGAGCGAATCACGCTTCGAATTTGCTTCCCAGCTTGTCTATTGAAGTAAAAATTTGAACAAGTTTAAATCATACAAGGTAACGCTCAATAAAACTTGAGGAATGCTCCACCAACAAAACCAAACCTCAATTTTGTCTTTCCCCGTGTCATCTTCTCTTCTGCTTGCACTGCACTCTTCTGAAATGGTTTATGCAGGTTTATTAACTTCCATCGTGACGCATAAAAAAAAGGAAGATATTTTCAACGATTGAAGGTAAATATTATTTTTGCCTCTAATAACGAAGAGAAATAGATATTAATACGTACTCCATTCCATACTTTTAACTGTCCATTTTGCTTTCCCATGTCAAATGTTAACCAACAATATACAAAATTGTACAATGGATTGAAATATAAAATCTATACAACGATATTTGTTAATGAAAATGCTATTTTTCTACTCCCATCCCATAATGTTTGTCACTAAATGTCACGCTCCGAACAACGTGCAAGATCTCATTACTTTTAACACCATTTTGATTACAAACAAATAAAAGTTATCGAGATACCATAATAGTACCACTGTACCAGTGACAAACATTGTGGAACGAAGGGAGAATTATTTTTTAACATATGGTGCGGCTTACACATGTTCAAAACTATTTGCCTCTTTATCTGCTCCAAATTTTGGATCCTCCCAGGGGTGTTTTTAAGAAGCTGGAATTATGTCCCATAGTTTCCTGTGGGTGGAGAAAGCTTAAGCCATAACAACCCACGGGGCATCCTCGGGTAAATCATGCATTAACATTGGAGGTTCATATCTCTATTCTCAACAGTCTCTTGGTAACTTGGTAAGGTTCTATATCAGAAATGCTGCAGAGGTAATCATTCATCTCTTGCAATAATTATAAAATCTGATTCTACTATTATGAAAAGGATTGAACTGCACCAAAATCTTTCCAAAAAATATAGAGCGTGGAGTGTTGGCAGTGGTGATTCATATTTGTGGATTGACTGGTGGTTACCTAATTTGGGGTAGAAGGAATGTCAGTATGTCACTAATTTGATATTGAAATCCATCTCTGGAAGTTTTGGAACATCTTATTTATATCAAGAGATTCACGGATAGGAGGTGTCTGAGTCAGCCTTTTCAATATAGCTGCAATTTATGGCCTTTAAAGTGTAGTCTCTATTTTCTTCTTCCCCTGGAGAATGTGGAATGGATAGATAATAGATTCCATTGGACACTATCAAGTACATAATGTCCATTCAATTGGTCTCTCAATATTTATGCTGTAGAGATGAGGAGCCCATAAAACACATGCAAATGTGATTGGATCAACTCTTTTCTCTAATTTTCCTTCTTTCCCTTGAGTGGTGTAGGCACTAGGCAATGTTTGAATTTGCGTATTGCAGTTTTGAGGCATTTTTATTTCAAAGCGTGTGGAGGCGTAGCCTCAATTTTAAAGTTTAAAAATGTCCATATAACATTTTTAAAATTGAAGAGAGAACATTTTTAATAACAGAATTAATCCATAAACAAAAAAAAGTATCTTGTCAAAGTAACAGACTAACAGATCTCAAACATAACAATGCCTAGCATGAAACCAAAAATTTATGTACATATTTTCATGTCGGGTCTGCCATTTAAACGATCTGTTTTACTATAAACAAAAATTAAAATTTTATGATCATACCATTTTCAAGTGTGGATGACTAGTAAAAATAAAAATAAAAAACATTAGATTAATGATAAATTCGTATGAATAAAATGTTAGCAATAAACAAATATATATGGGTAAAAACCAAATGTGTAAAAGAATAAAAATAAAAAATACATATCCTTCAAAGAAATTACTCCATAATACAGAGTACTCCGTAAAAAGGGGGATAGACGACCAGAGACTAGAGCTGGAGTTACTGGG